GGTCACACGTCACTGTCCACTGGCAAATATTCCAGCACATCCGGGACACCCGTCGTCTCATTTAATTGCCTGACCAACTTCGCGCAGTCTAAATATCACACCCGAACTTTTCTAAACCTGATTTGGTGTAAACCAATGAATCGTGAAAGCGTTATTTGAAACTGAAACTGTACAAGAACATGAAAGTCAGACTTCGAACATTGTGAACTTGGACATGAAAGAAATTCAAAACATTCGAAGTTCTTTTCAAATTCAGTCCTAAAAAAGAATCGAAACTGTAGTAAATCACGGTTTATTTACATATTTATACAGGCTAGGCTGTGCTAGACGATGCTCGCCCGATGATGGCCGGTTCCTGATTGCTCGAGCTCGCCTGTCCGCTCGTGCACGTTCTCTTCCTCCATTGCCCGAGTTACCACATTCCTCCAGGTTTAGTTGTTAAGTTCCAGGGGCACTCCAGCAGCCTACAGGTCAGGCAGCGCTCCAAGTCTGTCTGGGGGACGCCGAACGCGTTGTGGGTACCCAGTTGAAGGTTCATACGGCGTTGAGGAGGTGTCGCCGGCCGACCCTGTCTGCACCACTGGAGGTGGGGCGGTTGCTGCTGGACGAGGCAAATCTCCATCTGCTAACGTAGACGCTCCAGGACTAGCAGTTGGACCCAAGAGCATCCATGGCTGTGGGCCTGATATTTCACGACTTGGTGGTTGTGCATGTAGTCGTAAAATATGGTCCAAGTGAACGGAGATTGTGCGTCCTCGAACGCCCACCAGATACCACAGTGGTCTTCGTCGGGAAACAATAATGCCTCGTGACCACGAGTGCTGGTGGCCTCTCACGTCTCGCACGAGGACCCGGTCACCCGCATCAAAGCTACGAAGTGGTCTTCGTGATTTGTCGTGCGCCAACTGCTGCTGGCGTTGATGCTTGACGACGGTTCGCTCCGTAGTTGGCTTTATCAAGTCAAGTCGGGTTCGAAGTGGGCGCTTGGTGAATAGCTCAGCCGGTGTCCTCTCTGTTATAGTATGCGGAGTACTGCGGTAGCTCAGGAGAAATCTGGCCAGACTTTGGTTTTCTATTTCTCCTTGTGCGCTTCCTATAGACGAGTCTTTCATCCAAGCTCGCTTGAATGTCTGAACTGCTCGCTCAGCAGCTCCATTCGATGCCGGGTGATTGGCGGTGTGCGAATGTGCTTTACCCCGTTCATTCGCAAGAAGTTGTCGAAATCCCCTGAGACGAACTGTGGTACATTATCCGACACAAGCTCAGAGGGAACTCCATAGGACGCGAAGAGGTTCCTTAGCATATCAATGGTGCGAGCTGCCTTTGTCGTCCCTGTCGATAGAACTTCTATCCACTTCGAGAAGCTGTCCATGACTACAAGATAGTGCCTTTTGCTCAGTTCAGCATAGTCGACATGAATACTGTCCCACGGGGTTCTTGCCCACGACCATGGGTGTAGCGGTGCTGCCACCGGATAGTTTTGCATGGACGCGAAAGCGTAGCACTTTTTGATGAACTCTTCTATATCTTTATCCAACGCTGGCCAACAAAAATGGTTCCGAGCCTTGGCCTTCACGCGACTTGTGCCTGGGTGGACCTCATGGAGTTTATGCAGCAGTTGCGTTCTGATTGATGGTGGTATGATGACTCGGCACCCCCACAGAAGACATTCTTGGTCTGTGGATAGCTGGTCCCTCTTGTCAAAGTAAGGCCGGAGCACCTTGTCTTGGACGGAGTTGGGCCAACCGTTCAAGGCAAAGTCCAGCACCCTGGATAACGTTGGGTCCCTCCGAGTTTCCACTGCGATGTGGTCACTTCTGACGGGGAGCAGCTCCACGTTGGAGACTTGCAGTGTGGAGGTGTCTTCATCGGGGTGATACGAACCAGAATCACAAGGCAACCGCGAAAGCGCATCCGCATTGCCGTGGTCCTGGGACTTCCTGTAGACGATATCACAGTTATAGGAGAGGAGTGTAAGTGCCCAACGCTGCATTCGAAGAGCATTTAAGCTTGGGATTGCCGTGTGCGCGTTGAAGATCGCGGTCAGAGGCTTGTGGTCTGCAATAAGTGTGAAGTTCCGGCCGTACAGGTACTTATGAAACTTTTTCACTCCAAATACAATACCAAGCGCTTCCCGCTCGATCTGTGCGTAGTTACGCTCGCTTGGTGAGAGTGTTTTAGAGGCGTAGGCAATTGGCACTTCCTCCCCGTTTGGCATGATGTGTGAGATGGCTGCTCCCACTCCGCTTGGTGATGCGTCGCAGGCGAGGCAGAGCGGCTTGCTTGGGTCGTAATGAGTAAGCCAGTTGCTCCGCAGCAAGCTCTCTTTCGCTTCTTTGAAGGCTTCTTGGCATTCTGCTGTCCACTTCCAGCGTCTATTTTTCTCTAGTAGCTCGTGGAGTGGTTTTAAGATCGTGGAAAGTCCCGAAGCAGCTCGTAGGTTGATGCAGACAGTGTCGCAAGCAGGATATCTGCCTTCTTGCCTTCAGGGACCTCGTTCGCCGCGAGTCAGTGGTCAAACCTTTCGATGTAAAGATCGAACCGTTCTGACTTATCGAAATCAGGAACGCGACCGATGTAAGTCATCCTCACCCCGCTTTGTGTTGACATCGAAGGGGTCCCTTCCGAACGTCCGTGTAGTCGTAGGGTCAACCAGGCCGCTAGAGCTGTGGAGCGTTCGAGCTGAAGAAGCGTTACCCTACGCAGTTTATGCCCACGGATGATGAGTTGACTGGAACATCTCGTCGACAAATGTAGTAAATCGCGGTTTATTTACATATTTATACAGGCTAGGCTGTGCTAGACGATGCTTGCCCGGTGGTGGCCGATTCCTGGTTGCTCGAGCTCGCCCGTCCGCTCGTGCACGTTCGCTTCCTCCATTGCCCGAGTTACCACAGAAACCTTCGAACTTTTCGAACTTAATGTAGAAATATATTCCAAATCTTCAATTTTTCGAGCTCTATGTATATGTAAATTCGAAACTTCAGAGTTTTTCGAACTTCAAATCCAAAGAAAAATCGAAATCTTCGATTTTCGAACTTCACATTTAAAGAAATTCGAAACATTTAAATTTCAGATTTCAAGAAATTCAAAATTTTCGAATCTCTCTACCTTCAAGTTAGGAAAGTTTGAAATCTTTGAATTTCTCGAACCTCAAGTAAACAATTTTCAAAATATTCGAACCCCAACTTTTAGAAACCATAAAGCTTAAACCTTTTTTCGAATTCGAAGCTCTACGGTGTTGGAAAATTGCGAACTTTTCGAATTCGAACCTCGGTTCAATTCAAAATATCGCGACCTTTTGGATTCGAACTATGGTGGTTCACGGCATTCCTGAGCTCAATGGACCAGCGCATTTCGGTATGACCTCCCGCCAGTGGCCTCCACTTGGTTCCTCGTTGCGACCAAGTACACACTCGCTCAGGAAACTTTGAAACAAGGTGGTGAATAAAAATCAAGGTGATTTAAATCGGGATTTAAACCGCACCGATGTGGCTATAATGATTTAAGTCAGGGTTCTTAAAACTTCAGCCTGCCGGCCAGATCCGGCCCACGGGGGCCTTCCCACCGGCCCACAGTTGGCCGCGACCCTTGCAGTGACGCCTGGCCCGCGGCCTGTTTCTAGCAGGCCCGCTGCTACCGGCGGAAAAATATGCGCGTGCAAAGAGCTGTTCCTCTCACCAAACGCTTCATATCCGTTATGACTTTTTTCTTATCCCGCTGAACGCTTTGTGCTACATTTCGTGCACCTTGTCATCACTGGCATCTCCATTCTTTGTCCCCTGTTTTATGTCTGTGCAATTACGTTGAAATTTTTTGCGTATTTCTGCCTGATAAGTTTCAGGAATTGATATAATTTCTACCATTTTCATTAGTCTTCTGGCCTTTGCAAAACATGCCATTGTTCCTAAGTGCCTCTATTAAGGCCCGGTGAAGTATCTGGGTTACAATTGATATATGTCATAATTATATTAATATTTAATAAAACTAGGTATTGTTGAACTGTATTACTCGCAAGTCATGTTACTCTCATGTAGGCTTTTTATCATTAGATGAATAACTTTTTTATTTTAAATTTTTTTATTAAAATAATTTGGTCTATTTATTACGTAACTTTCGCCTTTGTATTTACTTGATTATTATCTTTTCCTCGAGGCTGCGACAGACACATAGTCCAGCGGCTAAGCCATAAAGTTTCGAGGCTCCTGATTTAGAATAAACAAGCAGAGTGAACCTTGTCTATTGTAAATGCGTTTTAAAAGTAGCGATATCAAATTAATTATTAAACTAATTAATAATTAACTTAGTTAGTCAGTTAGTTATTACGTGCAACACCCAATTAGTTAATTAATTAGCGAAAAATTAAATTAAGTCATAACTTAGTTAGTTCGTTAGTTGGTTAGTTAGTTATTAACTACAACACCCTTCTAGGGCAATTTTGTAGGTGGTCATACATAAGTAAAAATACGCGAAATACATTAGGTGATGCAGTGTAATTCAAAACAAAGCAAAATTAATAACATGAAGAGGAAACTGCTGCTACGGCACTTTGTTAAGGCAGTGATGGATCTAACAAGAAAGGCAACAATCGGATTACCAAGTGCAGTAATTATTTAATGGTGAATTTTAAAGGAAGAGATGGGATTTTCAGAGGCAATTTCGGCAGTAAGCCCCCATTTCATTTCATGGCAACTACTCTATTTCAATGCGGAGCCCATGTTCGTCTGCTTCTTCTACTGGGGCATGTGGTGACGTCGGAACGCCAAGCTCTGAGTGCCTCTGATTTAAAAATAGCGGGTACACGTCACAGCAAACTTCCTTGGGGTCTGCCCACTATCCTTCAATCAGAGCCAATCAAAGCTCGGCGTTTTTCTGACGTCACCGCAACTCCTGCACAAGAAGCAGATGACTTGTTCTCCGCATACAGTAGTTGCCAGCTTACTTTTTGCGTTGTTTCGTAAACCTCTGCGGCACGATATAGACCAGCTCTCGTTACGTACCATCTGGGTACGCCAAGTAGGCAAGACCGAGTGTTCCGAACGAAAAGTCTCTGTTCGTCAAGACGTAGGTGAGACAGAAGTCGTTGTGGTTCTCGAATGACAGCAGTTGCAGCATCACCGACGCGTCGATGTCGTCGCTACAGAAAGGGTTCTGACTGGCCTCCGGAGGTTCGCAGCTCGTCGAGTTTATCTGCGAGGGACACCGCGGTGTCGTCTCGTTGGTCTACATCGCAGCAAATAATGACCAAAGTAATTCCTGCAGCTTAATGTTGTACAGTTACAAGCAAGCAGTACAGTTTTTCTGAGATTGTACGGCTAATTTTTAAACACTAAATTCACTAGTAGAAAGAGTTGGGGACGTTGAGTTCGTCACGCGACAAAACGCGAAGGTCCCTTATTTATTGTAAAACACAATGCACAAAAAAAAAGGGACCAAAGAAAGGGAGTTACGATGGAGAGGCGCTCCTGTCACGGATCTTCCTTTGGTCCTTGTTTTAATGTGAAAGTATTATCTGTCTCGTGGAGCGCAGTGGCGTTGTCCGTAACCACGAAAAACGGCACCTAGTTCAATTGGCTGAGTGCGACGGCACCTAAATGCCCAATGGCGGAGCGAAACGACGCCTAAATGTAAGTCATCAAGCACGCGCGTTCACAAATAAAACACAAAAGAAAAACACAGCAACGCAGATGCTTTGTTACAAAAGCCGACGGGGGCGCTCAAGGTCAAAACGCACGCGCCTCAGCAATAAAACGCAAAGAAAAGCACAGCAACGCAGATGCTTTGTTACAAAAGCCGACGGGGGCGCTCAAGGTCAAAACGCACGCGCCTCAGCAATAAAACGTAAAGAAAAGCACAGCAACGCAGATGCTTTGTTACAAAAGCCGACGGGGGCGCTTAAGGTCAAAACGCACGCGCCTCAGCAATAAAACGCAAAGGAACGCACAGCAACGCAGATGCTTTGTTACAAAAGCCTACGGGGCGCTCAAGGTCAAAACGCACGCGCCTCAGGAATAAAACGCAAAGAAAAGCACAGCAACGCAGATGCTTTGTTACAAAAGCCGACGGGGGCGCTTAAGGTCAAAACGCACGCGCCTCAGCAATAAAACGCAAAGGAACGCACAGCAACGCAGATGCTTTGTTACAAAAGCCGACGGGGCGCTCAAGGTCAAAACGCACGCGCCTCAGGAATAAAACGCAAAGAAAAGCACAGCAACGCAGATGCTTTGTTACAAAAGCCGACGGGGGCGCTCAAGGTCAAAACGCACGCGCCTCAGCAAGAAAACGCAAAGAAAAGCACAGCAACGGAGATGCTTTTTTGCAAAAGCCGACGGGGGCGCTCAAGGTCAAAACGCACGCGCCTCAGCAATAAAACGCAAAGAAAAGCACAGCAACGCAGATGCTTTGTTACAAAAGCCGACGGGGGCGCTCAAGGTCAAAACGCACGCGCCTCAGCAATAAAACGCAAATAAAAGCACAGCAACGCAGATGCTTTGTTACAAAAGCCGACGGGGGCGCTCAAGGTCAAAACGCACGCGCCTCAGCAATAAAACGTAAAGAAAAGCACAGCAACGCAGATGCTTTGTTACAAAAGCCGACGGGGGCGCTTAAGGTCAAAACGCACGCGCCTCAGCAATAAAACGCAAAGGAACGCACAGCAACGCAGATGCTTTGTTACAAAAGCCGACGGGGCGCTCAAGGTCAAAACGCACGCGCCTCAGGAATAAAACGCAAAGAAAAGCACAGCAACGCAGATGCTTTGTTACAAAAGCCGACGGGGGCGCTCAAGGTCAAAACGCACGCGCCTCAGCAAGAAAACGCAAAGAAAAGCACAGCAACGCAGATGCTTTTTTACAAAAGCCGACGGGGGCGCTCAAGGTCAAAACGCACGCGCCTCAGCAATAAAACGCAAAGAAAAGCACAGCAACGCAGATGCTTTGTTACAAAAGCCGACGGGGGCGCTCAAGGTCAAAACGCACGCGCCTCAGCAATAAAACGCAAAGAAAAGCACAGCAACGCAGATGCTTTGTTACAAAAGCCGACGGGGGCGCTCAAGGTCAAAACGCACGCGCCTCAGCAATAAAACGTAAAGAAAAGCACAGCAACGCAGATGCTTTGTTACAAAAGCCGACGGGGGCGCTTAAGGTCAAAACGCACGCGCCTCAGCAATAAAACGCAAAGGAACGCACAGCAACGCAGATGCTTTGTTACAAAAGCCGACGGGGCGCTCAAGGTCAAAACGCACGCGCCTCAGGAATAAAACGCAAAGAAAAGCACAGCAACGCAGATGCTTTGTTACAAAAGCCGACGGGGGCGCTCAAGGTCAAAACGCACGCGCCTCAGCAAGAAAACGCAAAGAAAAGCACAGCAACGCAGATGCTTTTTTACAAAAGCCGACGGGGGCGCTCAAGGTCAAAACGCACGCGCCTCAGCAATAAAACGCAAAGAAAAGCACAGCAACGCAGATGCTTTGTTACAAAAGCCGACGGGGGCGCTCAAGGTCAAAACGCACGCGCCTCAGCAATAAAACGCAAAGAAAAGCACAGCAACGCAGATGCTTTGTTACAAAAGCCGACGGGGGCGCTCAAGGTCAAAACGCACGCGCCTCAGCAAGAAAACGCAAAGAAAAGCACAGCAACGCAGATGCTTTTTTACAAAAGCCGACGGGGGCGCTCAAGGTCAAAACGCACGCGCCTCAGCAATAAAACGCAAAGAAAAGCACAGCAACGCAGATGCTTTGTTACAAAAGCCGACGGGGGCGCTCAAGGTCAAAACGCACGCGCCTCAGCAATAAAACGCAAAGAAAAGCACAGCAACGCAGATGCTTTGTTACAAAAGCCGACGGGGGCGCTCAAGGTCAAAACGCACGCGCCTCAGCAATAAAACGCAAAGAAAAGCACAGCAACGCAGATGCTTTGTTACAAAAGCCGACGGGGGCGCTCAAGGTCAAAACGCACGCGCCTCAGCAATAAAACGCAAAGAAAAGCACAGCAACGCAGATGCTTTTTTACAAAAGCCGACGGGGGCGCTCAAGGTCAAAACGCACGCGCCTCAGCAATAAAACGCAAAGAAAAGCACAGCAACGCAGATGCTTTGTTACAAAAGCCGACGGGGGCGCTCAAGGTCAAAACGCACGCGCCTCAGCAAGAAAACGCAAAGAAAAGCACAGCAACGCAGATGCTTTTTTACAAAAGCCGACGGGGGCGCTCAAGGTCAAAACGCACGCGCCTCAGCAATAAAACGCAAAGAAAAGCACAGCAACGCAGATGCTTTGTTACAAAAGCCGACGGGAACGCTCAAGGTCAAAACGCACGCGCCTCAGCAATAAAACGCAAAGAAAAGCACAGCAACGCAGATGCTTTGTTACAAAAGCCGACGGGGGCGCTCAAGGTCAAAACGCACGCGCCTCAGCAATAAAACGCAAAGAAAAGCACAGCAACGCAGATGCTTTGTTACAAAAGCCGACGGGGGCGCTCAAGGTCAAAACGCACGCGCCTCAGCAATAAAACGCAAAGAAAAGCACAGCAACGCAGATGCTTTGTTACAAAAGCCGACGGGGGCGCTCAAGGTCAAAACGCACGCGCCTCAGCAATAAAACGCAAAGAAAAGCACAGCAACGCAGATGCTTTGTTACAAAAGCCGACGGGGTCGCTCAAGGTCAAAACGCACGCGCCTCAGCAATAAAACGCAAAGAAAAGCACAGCAACGCAGATGCTTTGTTACAAAAGCCGACGGGGGCGCTCAAGGTCAAAACGCACGCGCCTCAGCAATAAAACGCAAAGAAAAGCACAGCAACGCAGATGCTTTGTTACAAAAGCCGACGGGGGCGCTCAAGGTCAAAACGCACGCGCCTCAGCAATAAAACGCAAAGAAAAGCACAGCAACGCAGATGCTTTGTTACAAAAGCCGACGGGGGCGCTCAAGGTCAAAACGCACGCGCCTCAGCAATAAAACGCAAAGAAAAGCACAGCAACGCAGATGCTTTGTTACAAAAGCCGACGGGGGCGCTCAAGGTCAAAACGCACGCGCCTCAGCAATAAAACGTAAAGAAAAGCACAGCAACGCAGATGCTTTGTTACAAAAGCCGACGGGGGCGCTCAAGGTCAAAACGCACGCGCCTCAGCAATAAAACGCAAAGAAAAGCACAGCAACGCAGATGCTTTGTTACAAAAGCCGACGGGGGCGCTCAAGGTCAAAACGCACGCGCCTCAGCAATAAAACGCAAAGAAAAGCACAGCAACGCAGATGCTTTGTTACAAAAGCCGACGGGGGCGCTCAAGGTCAAAACGCACGCGCCTCAGCAATAAAACGCAAAGAAAAGCACAGCAACGCAGATGCTTTGTTACAAAAGCCGACGGGGGCGCTCAAGGTCAAAACGCACGCGCCTCAGCAATAAAACGCAAAGAAAAGCACAGCAACGCAGATGCTTTTTTACAAAAGCCGACGGGGGCGCTCAAGGTCAAAACGCACGCGCCTCAGCAATAAAACGCAAAGAAAAGCACAGCAACGCAGATGCTTTGTTACAACCCAGGTAGCACACTTGCCTGGTTTAGCTGGGGCCAGAATTGGCATTTAGCTGTCATAGCTTGGCCACGACTGCCCAGCCATTTACGTCTGTATGCCAGCCTGGCATTTCACAGTCTTTCCTTGCACCAGAAAGCCACGGAACTGCCAGGGAACGTCTTCCCTGGTTGACCAGTCAATATCCTTGGTCATTGATGGTCAGTGTAAACGGGCCGCTGCCATTATTTATGTACCCTGGCTGTCTATTGATTTTCCTCGGTCAGAATTGGCCAAGGTAGCAATGCCTCTGCCAAGCTTTGGGGTTCCATGGTGGTTCGTTGGAATTCCCTGGTCCACTCAATACAAGCAACAGCCAGTATTCGGGCATGTTGCCAGATCGAAGATAGGGTGAGCCAAGGAATGGCAGGGAATTGCCGCTATGCAATGTTCCGTGGCTCAAGCTCGTATTTTATTGGACCCAGAATGCCCGCTGAAAGCCACTGTTTTTTTTTTTTTTTTTCACTTTCTCTTTTTAATTTGCATGAGCATTCTCTTAACATATTTTGGGTGCTTTGAGGCACGAGCCCTTGCAGTAGAAAGCGACGTTTCAGTGCAAGATGTCTGTTTTAGTTGGAGACGTAAAAAAGAACACGTTTTCCCCATTGAAAAAGAAAAAAAGAACTATTTGA